CCGATTAATGACAAAGGCAAACACAAAATTTGGTTTGACTCGGCATGCTCCACCGAATCTAAAGAGACCAGTTTTGTTATTTTTGGCCAAACCATTCAGATTGTTATAAGCAAAAATATGCAATTTTCATATCTCCTGACCACTAGGGGGCACTGCGCCGAAACACTGCAGGTAGTCTCAGGTCATGCTTGTTATAACACACACCAAGTTTGGTCTCAATACGCCAAACCGTTGCGGAGATATAGCCTCACATCCATTTTTACGTGCTTTTCGTAGAATTCCTTCGTGCGTTATTCGCGTATATTCGTATATACAAATCAACTTGAATTCCATAACTTTCTGCCAGCATGGTCTGAAGATGATCTGAGCCAATTTTGGTGAGAATCAGACAAACCGTCTAGGACGAGTTCGAAAAAGTAGGTTTTCATGAGTGAAATTTTGGACAAGTGGTGGCGCTAGAGAGTTTAAGATAGAGACTCCAAATTTGCTATGGTTAATGTTGAGACTGTCCTCTATCAGTGTGCCAAATTTCACAACTTTCCCGCAAGCGGTTCTATGGGCTGCCATAGACTTGCGGCGGAAGAAGAAAAATGACGCTAACGGATACAATAGGTGCCACTGCACCTTCGGTGCTTGGCCCCTAATAATGTTTTTTTTTTTCTATTTTAATATAAATTTAAAAAAATATTCCACAAGGGCAAAATACATTAAAGACATTTGTAATGCTTAAAATATTAATCTGTGACTCTAGACCACAAAACCAGTCATAAGTAGCACATATATATTTGTAGCAATAGCCAACAATACATTGTATGGGTCAAAATTATCGATTTTTCTTTTATGCCAAAAATCATTAGGATATTAAGTAAAGATCATGTTCCATGAAGATATTTTGTAAATTTCCTACCGTAAATATATCAACTTATTTTTGGATTAGTAATATGCATTGCTAAGAACTTCATTTGCACGACTTTAAAGGTGATTTTCTCAATATTTTGTTTTTTTTGCACCCTCAGATTCAAATAGAAGACCCTTATGACTGTTTTTTTGATTCAGTGTCACATATTTCAAAAATTGTTCTCTTGGATTTTCTGTTCATTAAAGAATCCTGAAAAAATGCATCATGATTTTCACAAAATATAAAAAAAAAAACATTTTCAACATTGATAATAACAAGAACCATTATTAACAATTGAGTACCAATAATTATTGATAATAATTGAGCATCAAATCAGTGTATTAGAATGATTTCTGAAGGATCATGTGACACTGAAGACTGGAGTAATGATGCTGAAAATTCAGCTTTGCATCACAGGAATAAATTACATTTGAAAACATATTACAATAGAAAACAGTTATTTTAAATTGTAATAATATTTTACAATATTACTGTTTTTACTGCATTTGTAATCAAATAAATGTTAGCTTTGTTGAGCATAAGAATCCTAATCATTCCTAATCATCAGCTTTGTATTCTAAATGTGTACTATAAATATTACATACATTTATTTATAAAAAGTGTTTGAAATTAAAATTTCAGATTGTGTAACTTCTGTGTTTCTTTGGATTTCTTTCTTTCAGTGGCGTTAATTGATTTCTTTTGCTCTTTCTGTCTTTCGCACAGCAATGGAGGCCGAGCCGTCCCCCTCTCACCTCCAGACGAAAGCGTATGTGCGGCAACTGCAGGTCATCGACAATCAGAACCTGCTTTTTGAGATGTCCAGCAAGCTGGAGCCAAAAGACATGTGAAGGGACCAAGCGCACCTACAAGCCATATCTACAAAACCTCTTGTTCCCGCCAATAAACCCACACACTCAACCCTTCATGCTCCATTGTCGCAGATCAACCCAGCTGGACTGTCAATCATCTGAGGCTCCGCCTCCAAATCATCGAACGAGGACATTTGTTCACGAAAATGGTGTGAATTGTGTTTTGAGTGATTCTGTGTCAATGTTAATTATGACCACGCATAGTGGTCTGGATTCATTTCTACTTTTTATTTTTCTCGCTGTTCACGACTGAAGGGAAACCTGTCCCGATTGTACTGCCATCAATTGAACTGAACCAAACCGGGATAAGCTTAATCTGTACAACCTTCAGAAACACAGACTGCATTTTGGCCATTCATGACCCTAAAACACATGAGACAATCTGACCTCTTGAACTCTGACCTTTGGTCTTCCCTCCTCCCCTGCCAACATTGGCACTTACTGCAACCCTGTGCAATTGGCTGAAGTCATTAGATGTTAGTGTTCTGAACGATATGGATCCCCAGCCATCAAAAATGAGTCCCGAATCCAAGACCAGCTCCAGCGTACAGCATATTCTATAGTTAAAGGATGAAGTCATAATAATACAGAAGAACTGCATGTTAAAGTGAATGTATAGGAACTTGTTTACTGCAAAAAATCAATTTATGGCAATAGTTCTGTCTTGTTTTTTTTCTTGAAACAAAATTACATAAAGTAATAATCCATTTAATAAATGTAATATATTTAATATATATACAAAACATTTTGTTAGATTTATGCTTAAAACAAGAAGAAACAGTGGAGTAAAAACAAAATATAGATGTGTACTCTGAAAACAAGTCTTAAACGTTATTCAGATTAGGAATATTAATATATTCTTTAATTAAATGTATCTTGTTTTAATGATGTTTAGATAGGAAAAAAACAAGACAAAAATATTGCTAATTATTTTTTGTAGTGTAGAAGCCAAATTTAACTTTGCTGTTAATTTATTAAAGATTAGTAACAGACCAAAAAAAAAATTTGACCAAATGCAGTATTTTATCATATATATATTTTTTAAACAGAACCACTTATTCAATGTAATATAGCGTTAATATGTGACCCTGGAGCACAAAACCAATCTTAAGTCGCTGGGGTATATTTGTAGCAATAGCCAAAAATACATTGTATGGGTCAAAATTATTGATTTTTCTTTTATACCAAAAATCATTAGGATATTAAGTAAAGATCATGTTCCATGAAGATATTTTGTAAATTTCCTACCGTAAATATACCAAAACGTAATTTTTGATTAGTAATATTCATTGCCAAGAACTTCATTTGGGCAACTTATCTTTTAACAAACCATACATCAATGGAGAGCTTATTTATTCAGCTTTCAGATGATGTATAAATCTCAATTTCGAAAAATGGACCCTTATGACTGGTTTTGTGGTTCAGGGTCACATACGAGTTGTTGCTGATGGCCCAACTTCATTTCAGCTCGAGCTTTACTTGATCAAGCACTTGTTTTCAGTTTGCCCTTGTGTTTTGTTGAAAGGGCCTGGTGTGAAGTTAATTCTCATAACTGGAAAAGTGTTTATTTGCACCCAAGTTTACTCCCGAATGATCCCAAGCTGAAAACGGGCTCTGTACGGGATGACTTGTCTTGGATTGGACTCTCTCAGGATCTCCTCCTGAGGTCATACAAAGGACGGCCTGTAAGGCTGCACTGCACATACGTCATGTAAATAGCAAAAATAAATATGAATATGACTCTATTTTATGTAAGAGCTATGAGATGGACTCTTAAGAAGAATATTTGTTTTGTAAATCTATGAAAAGAAACGTACGTGTACAGTTTAAAAGGCGATGGCCCAGACAGAGTCTGTGGTTTGCGATGAAAGAATTGTATAGCATATTCGCTGGTTTTTGTTGTTTCTGTTTGATATCATTTCTTATCCATTACAGATGACCTGTACATATCCTCTGTTTTGGTTGCATAGTTTTTTTTGCGTTGTCTGTCTGCAATGGATGAATTGTACAGCATGTAGGTGGTTTAGTTGGATTTTGCTGTTTTTATTTGGTCAAAGTTTCTCATTCGTTTTTATTTGATCTTTTTAAAGCGGGTATTCTCTTGTTGTTTTTTGGTTTTGTACAGAAGTCAGTGTTTACAGTGCGATTATCTGAAACTCAGACATGTCCAATGAAAGACACGGAGGGCGGGGCATGCAACATTGCCCCGCCCCCTTTCCTTGACATGAGTCAAAGATGCATCTAAAATAAAGCCTCTTGTGATGAGCACTCGAGACATTCTGCCTCACTGTGTATGTGCACATGGTGCAAAAAGCTTTCTAGCTAAAGATTTAAAAATTATGATTCTCAAACGTTATTGGTTATTACGCTCGTTTTTTTGTTTCCAGTCCAACAAGACCCGTTTATTCAATTAGCCTAACTGTGACTTGCTCTGACTGTAACATTTGAATCTGCTGCAGTCAGATTAGTCGAATTCACACACGAACCAAACAAATCGGTTTATTATTTGAAAAGAATCGACTCAGAAGACTGATTCAATTCTGACATCGCGGATTTCTTTAAAATTACAACGACGGCCATCTTTTTCTTAACAGTAGATTGGATCCATTTAACAAATAATAAAAATAAATATAGTAAACAGAAAAATGGAATAGCAGAAATAAGAAGCAATTATTATTTTTCGGAATTGTTTTTGTGCTGTTGACAAATTATATTTTTTTGTGAAGGACAGAAAAATAATGTTTCAATATATCAATATCGCTAGGTGCTATAAGAAACTACATTTTAACTAGCGCTGTCAAATGATTAATTGTGATTAATCGCATCCAAAATAAAAGTTTTTGTTTACATTATATATTTATTATGTATATATAAATACACATACAGTATATATTTCACACACATACAGTATATATGTGTTTATACATTTATATATTCATATTCTTATATTTTATATTATATATAAATATATAAACATAACATTTTTCTGAAATCTATACATGCATGTGTTTGTATTTATACATAATATACACAGTACACACACATACATTATGTAAACAAAACTTTTATTTTGGATGCGATTAATCGCGATTAATTGTTTGACAGCACTAATTTTAACTTAACAAAACCTAACGTAACAGCAATTGCTCAGCAATGTAAACCCACTTGCACATTGACTTTCAAAACAAAATTTCAAAACAAAACAAAAAAAGACAAAATTTCAAACTTGCTCAGCACATTTCTGCATTTATTATGACAGTACGTATGCAATTATTGAATATGATGACGCTTATTTCAAATGGAGAACATCTTCCTCCGGTTCATGTTGTAGCAATTTACATGGCAGGGCTAAAAAAAAGGAACTAAACAGTACAGTCGAGTTCGTAAAACAACTATAAAATCGGTGTTCCTGCTTTATGTTAGGTGTCAGACAAATGCGCTAATGTCATAATTATGGCAATTACAATCAAATTACAAACTGTGGCATTTGTAGACACTTTTTTCCCCTCCAATATAGATCTAAGCAAGTTGCTGCTTGTTTAACGACACTGGAACGTAACATCTTTAAACATGTTATTTTGTACTCATTTTATTATTAGATTTAAATACACCGTAGGACACCAAAAATAAAGAGGAACTAACTATTACACCAGCAAGTGAGGAGAAAAACACAGAGCTCTTTCCTGTACATGGAAGCAAATTCTTTCATTAAAGGCAGCAGCTAAGCTAAGCTAAACTAAAATGTGAAATTTAAAAGCGTTTCAAAGATTCAAAGTGTCCGTTACCTCCATAATAACCCAATTTGCTCATTTCTACAGTGTGACGCACGGCTGAACGTGCCACCGTTTGGACATCCATACACAAGGTCGTTGTGTACTAGTCAGCACATCACATTTCAGCAAACAGAGGCTCACAGTAAACAGAACTATACACAGCAAATATGACCGTTTTGTTCGAATATCTTTGCTAATAAGGTCCTTGTCAACCCAGTAGGCTTCCTTAGTTATAGGGTTAAAGAGTCAACGAATTAAGAGCAGTACAACTGAGATAATAGTCCCATAATTAATGGAGCGAGAAAATCGTTTCCAGTCAGTGCTTGTTCTCACTTGCCTGAAAAATGATTTTAGGTGACTATGACAATGAAAGTCAGACATAAACTCAGTCTAATTGCGGTTTAGGATGATTGACATTCAAAATAGGTTAGCAGAATAGTAATGATTTTAAGATTCCTATTATGTTCCTACCATCGTTTCACGAAACTCTGCAGCATCGTTTGAATCTCAGTGCTACCCTGTTGCTTTATCAACATTTTAACCAATGTAAAACAGAAAATGACTTGTAATAGTAAAAAAAAAAAAAAATACTAAAAACTGAATGAAAATCACGTAAAATGAGAACGGTTTATAAAAAGCTGAACAACACAAACACTTTAGGGAGGGAAATGGGAAGAACTCCAATACTCTTTACGGTTTTCAATACTGAGCCAGGAATAAGAGTTTTTTGTCATACGAAAAAACAACTTGATTCTCTTTCATTAATATGGTTGATGTAAGAGGCTCAACAGTGAGAATAGGACACAACTATCTGATTGAACTAAAGAAAATAATCTGCGCTCTACAAACTGGGGGCCGTTCACACAGAAGGCGTTCTTCTGTTTACAAACACGTGACGCAGTTTAACAAATAAAAAAAAGGGTTGACACTTGAGAGTGTGTTAAAAACACGAAGCTCATGCGTTTTACGAGAAACATAACAAAAAAGCAGCGCAATAGAAGGCAAAATGCATTCTGTGAACCATCCCTTACATTTACATGAAGGTGGTTCACACAGAACGCCTTTTTTTTTTTTTTTGCATTTCACTGCTCTACTTTTGCGTTGTTTTTCTATGTAAACAACATGTGCTAGGATGTGTTTGACCTTTAAGTTCAAGTCTTGTGGCTTTTTAAAACACGGTGCTTAAATTAAAAATAAGTTCTACTTAAAAAAAAGTGTCTTTTTTAGTGGACGTGTCTCCAAAACCTTTTTTTATGGAAAGGAAAAAAACGCAAGATCTCGAGACATGTTTTTTTTATTGGTTCTGTGTGAATGGTCCCCAAGAGTGGATTTACGAATATTTCACAGTTAAATTCTGCTCGTGTCCTATGAATGAGGCTCGGTATCTCTAACATGCTAACTTGAGGCCATCTGTGGATTTGAGTTGAAAAAGGTGACATAATTGAAGTCTCAAATTCCTGTGTCAAAATTCCAGTTTTCCCAGGAGTACAATAAAAAACAAAAACACATTTAAGACAACATAAAGACAAAAGTGGCTTCTAACACCACAAACCAACTAAAGGGAGATTCCACATCATAGTATATGGAATGCTAATACTGAACCAATCCACGTCCATCAGACAGAGGAGGAATTAAGCAGAAAACTTTAGGATTCTCCTGGACTCTCTGTAGTGCAATCTGAGTGCACTTACTGTGGCCCCCGGAGACCAATACGTTGGAGTAAACACACTACAAGTCTGCTTAAACAAAGAGGGCTGGTGAAAGCTTTTGGGTAGCAATAAAACAAGGCCATATTTCTGATTGATGCAGAAGTCTTACTCTGTCACGTCAGAGTCAGACGACATTGCAGGGTTGACCGAGGCACACTGTACCAACTAACCACAAGCACTGGAGTTAAAGCACAACCTGTGAAGAAACCTCACCCATAAGCCCCTATTCATTCTACTTCCATTAGCACGTCTTTTACACAGAAAGCAAACATGAGAAGCCCCTGAATGCTAACTCTAAATGTCAAGATTACACTTTTCACACCCTGTTTTCCAATTTAGTCCTAAAAAAACTCTCTTTTGCCATGCAAAAATGGATAATTTTCACTGTATTATTTGCCTAGATGTGAAAAGTAAAGCCCTTACCCCTTCTCCTCCCCCCAGTACATTGCTTAAGCGGTTTTAATATTTAAATATATGCCAGAATATATACAAACAGTCCTCTTGTCAGTCACCGCTATACAGGCCGCCTCTCGCTCCCATCCTACACATATTAAGGGTGCGTGTGGGCATCCGTGCCGTCTTTGTCCGGCAACCGTTTCGCTCTTCTCCTGCAAGCATGCGAGTGAACGTTTATTAACGAAGAGATTCTACATTCCTGCCGAGAGCAGAGAGGCTCATAATACCTTTAAGGGCGCTTAAAAAGAAATGGAGAACATGACTGAATGACTATAAAAAGGGTCTCCTGATGGCTAGACGTCCCTCAGGCGTCTGGTACAGTGTGTATTGTCCCCTCTTTGTCCCCGGTAACATCCCCTCAGCATGTTTCCTGTAGTTCATCAGGCTCTTCAGGTCATGGAGGGAAAATGTGGTCGGAGGGTAGAGTGGGCGGAGTTCAAGGCGTTTCTTTCGTTCTCTCCGTCATTTCCACAGAGGAAGGTTTACGACGGCTCCAAGCTCTTCAGAGTGCCAACCTTTGACTCCAAGTCAGTAATCTGAGATGGAAACAGAGGGAAGTTCAGGCCAGTTACACTTAATATGAACTTTTTTATATATGTGACAAATGCTTTTATCTTTAAATGCATACATTACTGTTCAAAAGTTTGGGGTTCAAATGTTTAAAAATGTCCACCAAATACGTGAGACAAACATTTTTTGACTGTTGTGTTTACATCTTGCATCTTTCATGACATCATGCATGACACGCTGCTCTAAAAATGCGGTGCTCAAGTAAAAATAGGATTAATAATAGTGATTAGGGTTGCAAAAAGGTGGAACAGTCCAGTCAATTTCGAAAACATTCCAGAAATTTTGGAAACGTTACAGGATTTTTTTGGAATATTCCAGGGATTTTTGGAAAGTTTCCGGAAACTTACCGGAAATGTTCCACCCCTTTGCAACCCTCATAGTGATGTTCGCTTCAAGATCAAGTTTATTTCTAAAGCACAATTTTAAACAACTAAAAGTTGACCAAAGTGCTGTACTGCTGACAACTATAACACAATTTAAATCTAACACAGTTTACTTGAAGGAGATTACATGAAACTCTACAATACATTAAAAGCCATGAAAAACAAGTTTTAGATTTAAGATCAGAAAGTGTTTGAACACTTGAGGCTGTTCCACAGTTTTGGTACAACTACTGAAAAAGCCGGATCAATTCTCAGTTTTATTCTTGCCCTAAGAACAGTCAACAACCTCTGATCTGAAGATCTGAGGGATCTCGATGGATTATGCACAGACAGAAAGCTCGATATGTAAGTAGGCACCAGTCTGTTTAAAGATTTAAAAACAAATAAAAGAATCTACCACTAATACACATAATATAAAACTAGTATTTGCATTCACCCTTGTGGATCACACAGTGTGTAGGGATGTAACGATGAACCCCGAGCCGGTTGAAAATCAATACAAATATAAGACGATTCAAATCAGTTGAGATGTTAAATGAATTGTGACACAACTGGGGGTGGGACTGTAAGTTTATATGAATAGATCTCTGAGGGGAACTGACCGTCTTTCGATGGTATTTTCTTTTTATCTTGCCTCTGTATAATGCATATTAAAATAGTGTTCATAACTGCAGCACTGCTTTGTTTACAGCGGCTACCAAGGAAACGCTGTATCACTGCTGTTCATACGCGCCACCGGCTGGCAGAGAGTCAATTTGCGTCTCATTCAGCTCGTCTGCTGTTTTTGTTTCGTTCAGTATAGTGTCACAAAACTAAAGTCAGACCATTCTGTTTTTGCTTCAAATTTCGAAATTATACAATCCAATTTAGATTAAAATCTGCTCATGCTGCATGTATGCAGCATCTTTGTTTGGATCATGATTAAAATATAGTGGTGGTTGCCAGAGTGTGTGAGCGAATAAGAGCAAACTGTTTCTGGAAATACTGGTTTCCAAACGCACCTTCTCCTGGAGATTTTCTGTCTCCACCTTGTGGCTGGCCTCTGACTCCTCTTGTGCTCTGCGCTGGGCCGTCTCCTTCTTCAAATACTCAATCTCTCTGCATCAAGACACACACATATGCACAACATGCTTTAAACCCTTTCGCTAGGTCACATGAAGGAGTTTTGTCTAATTCCTTCAATCACAAACCCCACGAACATGCTTATTTTGTTATGTGATCCTGATTTAAGTCATTATATTGAGTCTGACTTGTTAATATCCTCAATCCCCTGCACTCACTTCTGCTGGTACTCTTTGATGAGGCGTTTGGCTTTGCTGTACTTGCGCTCCAGCGCCTGGTACTGCGTCTGCGTCTCTTTCAGGTGCTCATCCACCGCCTGGCACAAGCTCTGAGCCTCCATCCAATAGCCCTCCAACTTCTCCATCCGCTCCTTATTCTCTCTCACCGTCTGCTCCAACTGAGCCCTCTCCATCCGCCAGCGCAGCTTATCCTGCTCAGCGTGAGCCAGCTAGAGACGGAGAGTTCGTCACAAGGGTAAATAAAGGTTGTTTAACGATCTCTGAAACCTTACATTTAAAGCAAGCAAACAAAATGCATACCTTCCTCTTGAGCTGCTGGATCTCAGCCTGGGTCACAGCATGTTTTATCTGGAGCTGGAGACACAGAGATGGATGTTCAGAGATGTACATTTTTCTTGATTATTGAGTACATACATACAGATAAATACCTACAAACCAATTCGAATGGAATTTAAATTATATTTTAATTTATTTAGGGACTTTTAAGACTTAATTTTAGGGACTATAATTATATAAGTTATTTTTTATATTATTATTATTATTTTTTTCCAATACTGGAAGCAGATAATTTCAGGCCTTTTATTTTTCAATTCAAATAGTATATTATTTTTTAAATATAGTATATGGTATGTATATACAGTGGGTACGAAAAGTATTCAGACCCCCTTCAATTTTTCACTCTTTGTTATATTGCAGCCATTTGCTAAAATCATTTAAGTTAATTTTTTTTCCTCATTCACACACACACACACACACACACACACACACATATAGTATGTTTCTTTTTCAAACACTAAACAGAGATCTATCTGTTCATAACATTTTGGCATGTGAATTTAATTAAAATTCTACAATGTAGCATATAATTCTAGACTTGAGATATAGGGCAGATGATTTTATTTTTTAAAGTAACAAACAAAACAAAACAAAACAGCAGATTTATAATACCTACACTAAAAAAAATGGTGTAGAAACAATTTCCACTCAGAAAAAGCTAGTAAATTTCAAAAAAAAAAAAAAAAAAAAAAAAAAAAAATTTTTAATAAAC